ATTCTTCTGTTTTGCAATCCAAGAATTAACTCTATAAATTCTTTCCACTTCCCCACGTAACTCATCTTTATCTATATTCAAAATAACAGCCCAGTCATTAATCACCATTTCCATCAAGTCTTGGGTTTTATCTTCTTTCAGGCCTCTTATTCTCAAAGCATATTCCATCTGTCTGTACTGGAACATGAGAATATCATCTTGTGAAGTTTCCACTTTTTTCTGCATATCTTGGAATTTATAATCCAAAAGTTCTACTGTTTCTTCAATTTCCTCCACTCTAGAATCCAGCTTCACGACCACTGAGGCCACTCCAGATAAAGCTAAAAGTATATCATCCCTCAAAATAGTATTATTTTGTTCTAAAAGCTCCTTCATCTCTTTCTTCATTTCTTCCTTGCTTTCAGATTTATTCTGTTCCAAAAGTTGCTTCATTTCCTCCCTAAACTGTGACACAGCATTTACCATTATTTCTTTAATGTCTTGTGCTGATGTGCCAGATGGGGGAGGTGAAGGTGGAGTAGTTTTAGGTTGCTGCACTGAGGGTATTATTTTAAGTTGTTGTTGCACAGTAGAAGTAGCAGGAGAAGAAGTTGCCTTAGGAGCTGTAGTAGCTGGTTGTCGTTTTGAAGCCATTTTAATTTATCTTTCTTTCTTCATAAAAATACCAATAGAAAATAAAAAATCCAGAAAATTAAAAATAAGGTAAAATAAAATAAAATAGAATCAATTTAAAAACTCCCAAAAAATAATAAAAAAAATAAAAAGGAAAGCAGTATTAAGCAACAGTTCAGCCAGTCCGTCTTTCAAAGGAAAAAAAAACTTTCAAAACGCCATTTTACTTTCACTCTCACTTTTCCGCCCGCGAGAAAAAAAAGAAAGCTCAAAAAATGAAAAAAAATCAGCACATACTAAATAAACTAAGTAAACTAAAAAAAAATAAAATAAAGCTAAACTATAAATAAAATCCTTTAAACAGTTCTGTCCGGTTTAAAATTACTCACGGTTACTTTAAATACGGAGATGGTAGCGGCGTTTCGCTTTGTTTCCGAAGAAACAAAGACAGCTGAGAGGCGGAGAAGGCAATGAACTCCGAGGGAGCACTCTTTCTACCCCCCTAAAATAAAAATCCAGGGAAGGTTAAGAGGTTCTACCTCTATTCATGCGATCTCTACCCCTTCCCTTCGCCCGGGAAGAGGATTGCGAGCCGCGGGCCAGCTGATGAACGCTGTGCTCCGCGGATCTGACACCGTCTCAGGAGGGCGGCTACAAAGTAGCCGCCATCTCCGCTGCCTTAACCACCGGAAGTTCCCCTTCCAACTTTATTATTATAGTTTCCTGAAGAGGCATATTGATTTGCTAAGCTTTTTTTTCTTTTTTATAGCCCAGATATGTATTTAAGCTTTTGAACTAGAAAAACAATTGACTGTATTGACTTTTGAATTAGAATTTAAAATTGAGTTTTGAATTAGAAAAGCAATTGATTTCTTTGCTTGATTGTTTGGTCCCTAGGGGTCGCCAGTTCATCATGGACCACTTGCAAATGGAGGATATCTCTTGTTACTGGGAACAACTTCTAAAGGAGTATTCTAAAGCCTTGACATATAAAGTAAAACGGAAAAGCAACTATAATGAAATACTGCCCAAACCTTTGAAAACTGAACTGTAAAAAAAAAACCCACTTCCAACCAGGGCTTATGGACATTTTGATATTAGGAAAGCAGGATTGTTCCTCTGACCAATGGAAGTTCTCTCTTTGTGTTGTCAAACTAAAAAGAGAAACATATTGTTGCTACTTACTGCAGTATAGTAAGTGATAATGGCAGACTGAATTCTATTTTATATTGTGGTCAGTAAAATTCTATTAAGAAGGGGATGGAAATTTTGCTGAGTCCTAGCATTTTAAAAAATGTCTTGATAATTGTTACTCATGTCTACTTACCACAACAATGTCATATTGACCTCATGGTGTGGGTTATAATTGCTAAGCAAATCATTAATCAATTATTAATGAAATCATCCTGAATTGTTGTGCAAAATTGAATTTCATGTTGACTAATGGACTGATATATCCCTGATACAGCTTAATTCATGAGGAAGCCCATCATTCTAAAATAAGCTACTGAAGACTTCTGGAAAGCTTGTAATCAAATACAGGTAGTCCTCGATTTACAACAGTTCTTTTAGTGACTGTTAGAAGTCACAACAGCACTGAAAAAAGTGACTTATGACCATTTTTCACATTATAACCATTGCAGCATCTCTATGGTTACATAATCAAAATTTAGATGCTTGGCAGCTGACATGACAGTTGCAGTGTCCCAGGGTCATGTGATCACCTTTTGAGATCTTCTGACAAAGTCAATGGGGAAGCCAGATTCACTTAACAACCATGTTACTAACAATTGTAGGGGTTCATTTAATAACTGGCAAGAAGTTGTAAAATGGGGCAAAACTCACTTAACAGCTGTCTTGCTTAGCAACAGAAATTTTGAGTTCAATTGTTGTAAATTGAGGATTACTTTAATTCTTCCTTATTTTGTCATTATTATTAAATACAACCTACTAACTGTATTTAAACAATTTGTAATAAGTCGTAAGTTTCTTGTCATACATGCTGTTTAATCAATTACTGATTTAATAATAATGTGAGCAGGGAGCAGTGTATAAGTCAGTAGGGATACTTTACTTGTAATCCCAGATGTAAAATATAGCAACTTTTGCAAAAGAAAAGTTATTTTTTTTCTGGGATGGGGACGTTGGCTTGAACTGTACTTACGTCTTCATGTTCTATTTTCTCCATATTAATTTCTTAATGGTTGCGACATTATGAATGTCCACAAGATTAATTCAAATTAAAAAATCAATCAATTTATAGGTTTGTGTTTTCTGAATGCATTATCTCTTTAAATGTCAGATTCATATTAGGTAGGTTTCATAAATATGCCATCTTGGATCCCTTTAGTCATATTTTATAACAAAACAGATCTGGGTTAAAAAGAACCAAAATCCAGTCCCATTTACATCTACACAATACGATAAACCTAAAATGTCACTTAAAAGAACTATTCATCGGGATTCAAATGCTATGAATTTCTTGCTGAGTCTTTTGTTTGCACATAGCCTAAACATCTTTTCCAGCTTTCATCTTCCACCTTTATATAGAGCACGGGTCGGCAACCTGCGGCTCCGGAGCCGCATGCGGCTCTTTGAGCCTTCCCATGTGGCTCCCAGCCTCCTCTGCCTTTGCAGAGAGAGACAGAGACAGAGAGAGGCAATTGCGATTCCCTGCTTCTCTCTCTCTCTCTCTTTCTCTCTGTGTGTGTGTGTTTGTGTGTGTGTGTGTATGTTTGTGTGTGTGTGTGTAAAAGAGAGTGCACTCACAGTGTTCTCCGAGGAGCTGAAAAGCTTTCTGGACGGAGCTCCTCCCTTTCCTGCGTCTCTGCAGGAAACAGGAAGCAGGAAGGGCAGGAGAGAGCTAGCTAGCCCAGCTAGGCTGTCTCAGGAATTCTGGGAGTTGAAGTCCATGAGTCATAAAAGAGACGAGGTTTTCTACCCCTGAGCTTGTTGGACAACAGCTTGAAGCTTGCCAGGTGAGCAGCAGATAGGAGGGGGGGAGAAAGAGAGAGGGAGGGAGGGAGAGAGAGTGTGTGTGTGTGTGGGGGGGAAGAAGAGTGGTAAACCAAGGGCAGATAGGGAGGGAGGGAGAGAGACAGAGAGAGACCCTTTTGACATCTAAAATGAAGATAACACTGCATATATCCTTTTTTTCCCTCTGTGTGTATGTAATTTTATTCTCTTAAAGCATTCTCTTGGTGATCATTGTTTTAATAGTATGGATATTCCCAAGAGTCATATTTTTACTTTCATTTTTAATGTGTGTGTGTGTGTGTGTGTGTATACATACACACACACACACACACACACAAACACACACACACACCTATAATAAAGGTAAAAAAGGATATATGCAGTGTTATCTTCATTTTAGATATCAAAAGGGTTTTGCGGCTCCCGGTGTTTTGTTTTTGGTGGGAAATGGGTCCAAGTGGCTCTTTGAGTGTTTTGGGTTGCCTACCCCTGATATAGAGGTTGCTTCAAGCTACTACTATGCTAATGATTGAAAGTATATTAATCAAAAGAACTATTCTGTTTTGAACTTGTATGAGTTCTGGATTCCTATGTTACATTTCCTGCATTAATCAAGCACTAGCATATTTAGGAGAATTTTTAATAATTTAAAATAGGACAGGCAATCTTCTCGGAGTGGTGAGCTATCAGTTCCCTGGCAAATGGAGTGCTCAGAATTGAACTGTGGGATTCTTGGTGCTCTGTGATCTTGGTTGTTTCCTTGCCAAACAAGGTAACAGCTTTGCAATCATACAGATCAACACATTTTGAAGGATGCAGTACTGATCAGAAGCACATGCTGTCCACCTGTATTGGAGTGGGATTAAAAATCAAAACATGCCTTGCAATTCTCACAAACTGTTCAACAACAGATCTTTGCCTATTGAGTCTTACTTAAGTACAGAATGTTTCGAAAGACGTTCTGGATTCCCGTCTCATAAGTGAGACGTGGAAGGGGAAAACGCAGGGTCAAGCCAGTAACAAACGTAACCAGTAGATCTCAGAAAAGTTAAAAGGCGGCAAGAAATGCAACTGCGGATATCACGGATGCAAGGAGGGAGCTTCGAGATGTTGGACAGAAAAAAATTGAAAGGCTAAGAAGCAAGACCTGGCTGGTGAGGAAAGGAAGAATCAAGGGTATTTTGTTTTGCCTTTTCCTGATTAAAAAGAATAAAGGAGATAACACCGAATGACGTATTTCTAACCGTAGGTAGACAGAGAGGGGAAGTAGGAGAGGGAAAGGAGGACGGAAGGTCTTTCATCTTGTTTTTTTTTTAAAGAGTCATGCTATTTCTAAAGAAAGAAAAAAAATACCGCCCGCTTTCAGCGTCGGTTCTATTTCACGCTTCTCCTAGGCGGGGGTACGAAGAGGGTGCGCTACATCCTCCAAGGCGACAGAGTGGCGCTCTTTTCAGTGCATTAATGTTTACAAGGGAAGTTCCCATAAAGACTTCCCGGGCAGGTGTCGGCAAATATGGAGCGACCGGGAGTGAGGACGGCACGGCCGCTCACAGTATTGGGTGAAGAATGCGCCGCTCCGGTCCCTGAGGTGCTCGGAGCGCTGGAGGGCTCGCCACCTTGGCTGCAGCCCCCGGTCTCGGGCTGGGAACGAGTTCGGGAGCTCTTTCGGCGAAAGTAAGTGAATAGCTAAGAGCCTTATCCTTGGAGCGACAGTGGGTGGCCGGGAGGGAACGTGTGTAGTAATTCAGGAATGAAATGCTTTTTCGAAATCCGACCTCAGCCTTGTTCTTCCCTGCATATCCCAACAATTATTATTCAAAAGGATATGGAGAATTTCATAAAACAGTTTCTGAATATGTTTCCTGAAACATTTTCTTTTTCAGTGAACAAAAGGCATACCCAGAAGAAACGATGTATATAACTAAAGCAACATTTACAGGGGGTCTTGTTGGCTTTGTCTATGGCGGTATACCTGGATATCTAAATGCCAAAAAACAGTACATTGAGCAATGTGGAGGAGAACTCTACCATAATCGGCTGGATGCTGTGGTATGGACAGATATTTGATAAAATTTGAACATGCAACAGTTGGGGGAGTTTTTTTTTTGTTGTTGTTACTTGCTGTCTTGTAAATGAGAAACAAAAATCAGAAATCAAGCACCACAGAGAGACATGCTATGTAATATATATTCACTGACAACATTTTTGAATGAAATATTGCAAATCACATATTAAAATAATATATTATTTGCATCCATGTACAAAATATAGCTCATTTATGGTATTAAATAGTTCAGTTGAACTATTTTCAGTGATGAGATTTAATCTGTAATGGAAGTTTGGATGGGTATACCTTACTTTTACAAAACAAAGTTGTATAAGAAATTTATGGAGCTTTTATAGGGTTTTTATTATCACATTTTCAGTTTGCATTAGTAATAGAAAAACAGTGCCTTGATATATAATTTTGCTTACCTTCTCCAAAGCAATCTATGCAACGTATAGCAATGAGGGGATTCATCCGATATGGCTGGCGGTGGAGCTGGAGAGTTGCTGCTTTTGTAGCAATATTCAAGTAAGTGTATTTCTTGTTATTTATGGGAGATAAACAGGGTGCTGTGCTCATGATACATGGTCCTACAATTCAACAGTAACCTACAATTCTAGGATAATATTGTAACTTATGAATATTAGATGCAAAATGAGACTACTTTGGTCATTGTGCCCCTTCTACTGTTTCCTCCATTTCTAATAGTGCATTTTCTGCATTTTTAATTCTCTCTTATTTTCTCAGTGGAGTATCTCTATTCTCAAGCAGTAAGCTGATCTAAGTAAAAGTCAGGGCTTGGTTATGTTTTCTACTTCCAAGAAGAATTGTATATTAGACCAGATGTTCCTTTACCCAAAAATAAAACAAGATTGTCAAAATTGAGAGATTTTCAAAAATTTAAATTTTGTGATGACATAGAGGCCATTTGGAGATCTGACTGGCACTGTTATTGATCCTTCATAAAAACCATTTTTCTGTTTCTGCAAACCTAGAATGTTAGCTTTCTAAAAACAGTGGTTACATTTCAAATTGGTCCTAGGTCTGTGGTGGCGAACCTATGGCACGCATGCCACAGGTGGCACTCAGAGCCCTCTCTGTGAGCACGCACGCCATCGCCCCAGTCCTAGGCCTTCAGCTGGGTTTTATAAAACCTTTTCGCTTTAGGCCTCTGCCATCGTGTGCAAAAAAAAGGTTCAATCAATCAATCAATTTCAACTTCTCACGGGAAAAAAAGGTCTCGCAAAGTTGGAATTGATTGATTGAACTTTTTAGTCCCACCCAGTCTGCCGTTACGACCAAAGCCACACCCACCCAATGGGCCATGCCCACCCAATTGGTCACACCCACTCAATGGGACACACCCATCCAATGGGCCACATCTACCCGGCACCTGACAATATATAAGTGGGTTTTGGATTGCAGTTTGGGCATTCGGTCTCTAAAAGGTTTGCCATCACTGTCCTAGGTCATTTGCTCCCTTGATGTTAGCTCAGTTTCTTCCCAATGCAAATACTTGTTTGCAAGTGGCCTCATTATTTAAGTTCTTTTCCAGCTTGGCAATTATGGGTGCCAGGACCTTAAATAAAAAGTATCATATACACACAAATATACTTGGGGGTGGGGAGGGCAGATGTGCAAGCTGGTGAAGAATCTTTAAGATTGAATTTAGGAGGAACTGACAATATTGGAAATCTGGGTTTGTACAGGATTTGTTAATATATAACCTTTTTTCTATCTAATATTTCTTTGAAATTAGGATCATCTTAAGTACAAGTTAGTGTTTCTTTTCAGAAATAAAAATTCAATGCATTATTAAACAGTAAAAACATTATCAAAATTTAATATTCCTATCTCATTTTGCTAAATTACTCTAAATTCATACAGTAGAACTGTACATTCATTATCACAAATAAGACCTACATTATATATGACCTTCCCTCTGGATAGATATTCATGAAGATAAAAAATACAGTTGCTATATCTTGTGAATTATGCTTCAAGCCATAAATATCTTCACTGAGAAAAAGATTTTTTATTGATATGTGAACTCTGATGTAAAACATTTGACAGTATATAATTATCCCATCCCATTTAAGAAAATATGTATTTTATGTGCAGATTACAAAAATATCTAGGCAGAAAAATAATGTTTGACTTTTCAGAATTTCTTCCTAAAGTTCTTGTTAATTCTTGCTTATTATTTCTCTTCTTGCAGCACAGTGAATACTGGCTTGTCTGTATATCGTGATAAAAGTACCCTTGGTCACTATACCATTGCTGGAGGTAAGACTATTTATTAGAGAAAATTAGCATCAGAGTTACTTTTTGATCTGGATTATATTTTGAGTTATTCAGATACTCAAAAATATATATCCCATGGATCCTGATCTAAATGTTCTGTGGCTATAAACTGGCTGTTTGGAAACTGCATCAGCCCTTTGATATAGCAAGGCTTTGCTGAATACTGCTGAAGTTCCCTAAAAGCCCCTGTAACTAATAAGATAAATCGAATATTTTATTGTGGCATTCTCCATAATCTGCTTTTATTTCAGCTAGAGTTGTGCAAGTATCCTGTAATAACTTATATGCTGAAATAGTGTTTTCTTATTTTTTTTTTACTTACTGCTTTGTAAATTGAAGTAACATTGCTTCCAGATATTGTTAATTACAACTTTAAATTTTTGAAATTATTCACTACAACTTCCAGTTTCAATGTTCAAGGATACTGGATGCTGAAAAACCATAAATCCTCCATACTGTTGCTGCTCTCATACATAGGCACAGCACATACACAGTATACCAGAAGATATAAGATATTACAGTTTTCCTTGGCTCTTTTTTCATATTTTTTCAGGTCTCTGAAAAAGAAAGACTAACACTTACAGTTACCAATGAAGGAGAATATTTGTAGCTCAGGATTGAAATGAGGGGTGCTTGGTGCTCTCTGAGTTTGCTTGTTTTCTTGCAAATGTTTCATAACCCTAACTAGATAAGATCATCAGTGCTAGTCTGTTGATATTGCCTAGTTTGGTTAATGAAATGTGTGCAAGAAAACAAGCAAGCTCAGGGAGCACCAAGGATCCCTCATTTACAGTTACCTTCTCTAATCCCCAACTACAATAATGAACTGAGTTGCAATTTAGGCTTGTTTATTATTCCTGCTACCGTATGTACCTATTGAGCCCAGAATTTTCCTAACACAGAATGAACCATCAAATTGATCCTGGAATCTGCTGCTTCATATATACGTCTGGAAGGAAGTGCTATTTTCCTTTTCACCGAAATGAGGTCTGCTAGCCGTTTCACTTGAATATGCTGTTGGAGGCAACTTTTTAGTAGTCGTTAATATGGGTAGTAATATTAGGAAAGAATAACTTGGAAACAATATAATTGTTTATACTATATAAACATTGTATAGATTTTTAAAAGAAGCTTGGTAGGAGAGCCATGTTCTAAATTATTTAAATAATGGCCTCATTCTTGAATTATATACTGAGATAGGACATCTATATGCACACACCAACATTCTGATATTTCCTCCATATGCATCCAGTTATAGACAGACGGATGTTTTATATATGTATGTATGTATGTATGTGAGAAAGAGTTTTAAAGATATACGTACTGCTCTACAGATGTGTATGGGTGCACACTGTCTGTACTTTATGTCTTTGCTGCAGAAGATGTTGGCCTGACTTGTGTAAAATAGATATTTGGGGTTGAATTTATGATATGTACGGCCTTGAAATTATATTTCACTAGACTAGATGAGGAAAAGGAGAAAGTTGAAATAACTTAACAGGCACTTTGGAGTACTGAGATTGAGCTTGCTTCGTCTGATTGTATTCTATTTCTAGCTTGTACCGGCAGCTTGTTCAGAATGCACTTGGGCTTGAGAGGTCTGATTGGAGGCAGTGTTATTGGAGGACTCTTGGGGTAGGTTGCTCAAATAGTGCACACATTGAACCATAGCCATTATCTGTATTGCTATCTTTTAATTGATTTGTTTGGATGACATCGAGACCTCCATATAACAATTTGCTGAATTTTGCAAAGATGTTTTTTCTTTCTTTTTCATAAACATCCTGGCCATTCATTCTGAGACAGCCTTTTAGCTTAGAAAGTTCATTATTTAATGGGCTAATTTCAATATTTTAGGCAGAGATTTAGGAGAAATAGATAATTTCAACCATTTCCAGTAAGCTACTGTCTTTTTCTTCTGAAGTATCTGATGCCTCTATTATTCTTTTCATGATGGAAGAATGAGAAAAGCTGCTGTGTTTTCCTCAAAGTACCTTAAGATAGATGTGAGTTTTAGATCTTCTGTTTTGTGGTGAACTTGTAATCCTTTAGAAGGTCCACATGAGTATATCCCTAAAGTAATATACTTTTACATAGTAAAGGAAACTAAATATGAAAAGCAACATTTATAGTAAGACTCAAACCACTGCAAAATCTGTACTTTGTACTTTGGTGAAGAAGCTGCTACAATATAACTCAGAAATAAAACAATTTAACTGTAGTTTTGAACATGGTTATTTGGAAATTAGTTTTCACTTTCTTCATTCACTGACATTGTAAAGGGAGAAATTTGAAAAATGTACATTCTTGAGTGCTTTCATTTGAAAAATACTCTATATTAGGACAGAAGGATTTTAGACTACCAAACTTAATACATTACTACATAAAAATTGTACTGTATCTTAATAATAATAAACATGTGCCTATTTGTTTTCCTACTTAAAACATTGTATACGAAGATGATTTCTTCATTTTTTTAAATGATGGATTATAAAATTCAGTTCCTCTCCCCAAATTCCTCTTAAAAGGAAAAGGTTTAAGAAAGAGGTAGAGATATAAGTGCTAGCATTTATTGTCTGAGCCTTTCATTGTCATAATTCCTGCTTGGTTGTGTTCCACATAACTACATTTATTTCCCGTGATGTTTTTCTGCAGTGGCTCTCTGGGAACATTACTAATGGGACTGCAAAAAGTCACTGGCGAAACCTTTCTTGAGAGAAAGAAAAGAAAGCAAAGTGAGCTACATGCACTTAAGATGGAAAAGTGGTAAGAAATCAGAGTTATTCCATTATACAAGAAAAAGCTGGGTCTCAGTCTGCATAACTCATAGGTCCTTGCTACTTCCACAATAATGTGACTTGATATTTGTATGCAGTCAGGTATGCAATTTGATACTATGTATAGCATGACTTTGTTAAAGAATTCATACATTTTGAGTCCTGCGACTCCTTTTATTCAGTAGATAAAAATATTTTACAAAGTAAATTATGCTAGACCATTTGTTTGTCCTTAATAGAATAAGTATAGTATATCAGGGCAGGCACAGTCAAGTTATTTTAAGGAACCCAATTCATGGTTATTTTTACTTAAATAATAGCTTGTATAGATAGTTACTTTTTAAAGTGAAATAAGTCTTCTTGATAGTTAACATTAAGTAGTACAGCTGGCAATGGAAATAAATAGCCTAATAGTTTTATCCAGCGATTCTCAACCTTGGCTTGAGTTTAAGATATCTGAACTTCAAATCCCAGCATGCCCCAGCCAGCCAGGAGGAATTTCGGGAGTTGAAGACCATGCATCTTAAACTTGCCAAACTTGCCAAAAACTAGTCTTATCAGTACAGGTACCCATGGTTTAACATTCCTAATTGGGTCCAGAATTTCCATCACTAAACAAAATGGTTGTTAGGCGAAATATCATAAGACTGTACCACTTAGCAATGGTAGTTCTGGTGATGTCAGTTCTGTGTTTAGACGAGGACTGCACTGTTGAGGATCTCATGCTTCTCCAGTTCTGCCACATTACTTTCACTCCAACTCCCCACCCTCCATCTCCACCCATCTCTACCCTCTTGACTTCTCTGTACTCTACTGCTCCTGCCACCCCAAGCTGATCTTCGCTGCTGCTGACTTATGCCCAGAAAGCAGCTGCTGGCCTTTCACAAGGTTTCCTGAGGGCTTTCTGACCTCATTCAGCAGATCATATAAAGCCTCCACAGTGCCTTGCGAAGCTGAACAAAATCCCTAGGAGGCCTTACAGAGGGACAGCAGCTGCGCATGCCTTGGCTGCGCATACCTCTTCAGAAGAATGTAGTACTACTAGTGTCGACAGTTTAAAAAGAGGGTTCTTTGGGAACAAAATCTACTCTTCATTTTGAGTTTTGTGTGAAAGGAGTGGCTTTTTTGAAGACAGGTTTTAGATTCTATTCTAATTGCAATATCAGACATTAAAAAGTTATATATGTACAATTCTGTTTGTTATTATCCAGAAATATTGAAGCCTTTTTCTTGGTTTAGGAAAGCTACTCTTGATATCCATGAAGATAGTTCAGAAGAAACAGATGATGTCCTACAGGAAAAAGATGGTAGATAATCTTGGAAATTCAAGTTTAAAAATTGACTAAAAGCCGTTTGTTGGACGAGGAGAAATTTGAATGTCTCTGGATACATAATTAAATATGTGCAGGTGACAACAGAACTTCTTGTGGCAAAAACAGTAACTTTTAATTTTTTTTAAAAAAAAAAGTTGTATAAAAATAATTTCTGGGAATATTCATGTAAAACACATTCTTAAATATAGCATTACTGCTTCCTTAAAATATATAAAAAAATCAGTAAATATTTTTGAAAAACTGTGGCTTTTATTTAGTTTAGAACCCATAACTTAAAATAAGTTTTATATCTCAATGCGTACCCTATATCAAATCCTTATAGAAAGCCAGTACCTCATATTTCCAACAATTCTTTCCAGAGTTCTCTCAAACTCCTTTATTCCTTAATGCCACTCTCCTGCCACCAGTGATAATTAGCTGAGTTTACCCTGAAATTATTAGTAAATAATTATCTCATTTGAATGAATGTTAAGAGAAAGAAAAGAAAATATTTTTATGTCCGAGCAATCTCACATCCAGCTCTATTTTGACTTTCACATTCTAGCAAACAAGATAAAAATGAGATAAAAATGAATAAAAAAGATATTTCTCTCAAATATATAAACAGGTACTGGCATCTAATTAATGCATCAACTGATTTTTTTGTCATAAATATGGCAAGAAAGGAAATTATGTACTACAGTTAGTAATTATGTGAATTAATTCATGAAGAATTATGGTTGTTAAGGATTTAAATCATTCTTTGAACCTAGTTCAACTGACCAATCATATTTTCTTTGCAAGACAATAATTTCAATGATGTTTTCAGTGTTTAAGAATAATGCATAAAAAATTTAAAACTTATATGTCAGCCATTTTTATACATTACACCGAGGAACAGAACTAGATCACTTTATATTTCCTATATAATTTATAAAATGTATTTGAAGATTTTTGTCTCAGCACAGGTTTTAGTCATGTGCCATTACAGTATTTAAGAAGCTAATGTGAAAATGAGAGAAAAGAGGTTAGAAAATATTTGGGGCAGCAATTGTTGTCAGAAAGAGTCAGTGTCTCCTGACTGAATTATCAAATTATTGATTGGGTGAGACTATTCATAAAGGGAAGTATAAAAGCTTAATGGGAGAAAAATTATGGGATACAGTTGACAGTTGAAAAGCAAAGCCTTTGAGAAAGTATCTACAGGGAGATGTGAAATCAAGAGCCATTTTCAAATGAGACTGGAATGTGCTATTTGCTACAACTCACTTGAATTAAAGTGTAAGAATTACTGAGTGTTTTGAATAATTTATGTTCACATTTTTACTTTTTAGCATACCCCTCTCTCAATTTATATTTTTTCTCTATTTTCTGCTTATTTAAATGATTTTTATGACCATCCATCTTGAAACAATGACTGGGTAACATACAGGGTAAAAACAGCAACTTACTGATAATCTGTGCCACTTAAGATAAATAATACATCTCACTCCAACAAATCCAAGCCAATTTATCCAGCACTTGCCTAGAATAGTCCTTACATCAGTCCTGCAAAAATTCCCATGACTATTCCTTACCTTGAAGATAACAAGTTATCATGTTAGTCCATTAGTTGACATTCTGCAAAACAAAACAAAAAAGTGGGGGGCAAAGAAATTACAGTTCACTGCCTTTATTAGGTATTAATAAAACCTGTTATCTGTGTTCATTTGAGTTTACTCTTCATTTTTCTCCATGTTGCTCTGGAGCTTCTGAAAACCAGGTGGTTCTCTGGGATCCATGTCCATAGATCAGGGCTTTTGAACCGGTGGTATGCGTACCACCAGTGGTACTTTGGCACATGGCAGGTGGTACAAGATCCTCCTAAACAAGTGTAGCGGGGGAGGGGAATGAGCTGAAGTGACCCAAACCTGAGAGAGAGGCAGCTGGAGCTGTAGGATTGTCGGGGCCCAGCAGAAGCCCCAGGATTTCTGCAGGGCTCCAGTGGATTGGCACTTCCGGAAGCAGTGCGTAGCTAGAGGAGAGAAGATATAAAAGGAGGTGGTTTTGGCGGGAAAGGGGAAAAAAAAGACAACAGGGAAAGAGAAGAGGACAGAGAAGAAGCTGTGGAAGGACAGCTCAATAGGCAGGGAGGAAAAAAGGACAGGGGAGAGGAAGCTGTTGCTGGAAGAAAAGGTCCCCTGGTTCATTTTCTCCAGCTAGAAGAATGCAATCAGCGCTGATGAAAAGCCGGGAGACGAGCATGTCGGAAAGGAGATTGGTTTATTTCGGAAGCCAGGGAGTTCCAGATCAGCTGGCAGCTTGATTGGGTTACCATAAGGATTTTTACACAGTTTTTACAGCGTTTTGTAATTCAGAGGCTCGGTTTGTGTGCTTTGGTTAGTGGAATATTTTACTCTGTTTCACAAAGACTAGCAATGAGTCCAAAATGTTGGCTTCCTTAGGTTTAATCCCTTTAAACAAATGTAATTAGTTTTACTCCCTTATCTTTAGTCTGTCTATGGCTTTTAGCAAGTTTTCTTTGTAGGTAAATAGGCTTAATTTAAGGTTATCGCTTTACCACAATTGCTGGAGCCTTTCAGGCTCCAGTTGCTACATTGCTTAAACTGAGACATGCCTGAAGCTATTTAGCAGTTTGAAGGGGAAAAAAACCAGAGTTAGCGCTTCTTTATTCTGGAGGGTTTTGTGAGCCTTTCTTGCTTTGTGTTTGATTCCTGTGTCTTTAGGGGCACAGTGAATGGTCTGAGGGGTTGCATTCTTACTACACTGGAAAGAGAGCTCAGAAGGCAGGGAGGAAGAAGAGGAGAGGGAGAGAGAAAGAATGACCAACCAGCCAGCTGGTAGTGGTGAATATTAATAAATATGGATAAATTCATCATACATTTGTCAGTGCAAAGAGAAAGTGATTCAGCAAAGGAACTGCCACCGAAGAAATTAAAACCGGTACTTTTTTCCTGTTTTTTTTTTTTTTTTACAGTTTGTAACATTTTATTAGATCAGTGGTTCTCAACCTGTGGGCCGGGACCCCATTTGGGGTCGAATGATCATTTCACGGGGGTCGCCAAACAACGCAGTCCGCCATTTTTTCCCCCTTTTCCTTAGCTGTGCTACTCCATTTTATTCTATTAGCTTTTGAAAGCCAATAGAATAAACTCTCTTGAATAGAGTCTAATTCCATTGGCTTTCAAAAGCCAATAGGAATTGTCCAGGCTGTCTCTGCTCTGCTGAGCCCGCCAAAAGTCCCATTCTGCAAATGGTGCTGCACCAGTTGAGTAGTTCTCAACTTATGACCGGTTGAGTAGTCCTCGACTTACGACCGGTTGGGGGTTGCGGCATTAAAAAGGTTGAGAACCACTGTATTAGATTATAGAAAAAAATACAAAAGCAAATAGTAGGACACAGTGGGGAGGAAAAAGGGGGGAAGTGGTACAATCTGTGAAAAGGTTGAAAAGCTTTGCCATAGATGACCCAATCCCTATCATCTAAGACAGTTTAGCATTTTCTAATTTTGTTGCATATCAAGGTATGATACAAGACACTGTTTTAGCTCATTAAAATCTTGTCACATAAGCCTGAGATACATATTTAAAACAGCAATAGATTGATTATTCAAATGACCAATAAGCTATGGCTATATCAATACCCAATAGCACAACTTTAAATGAATTTTTAGAAGGTTTTATTAATTAAATACAAAAAAATGAATACACACAATTATAAAAGAAAAAACTTTTTAAAAAATACAGAATGTACACTGACACATATATGTAGTATATAAATGTACATAAGCATTTCATTGCAATTATTTATGTGTAATCTATGCTAGTAAATGATGCATTCATAAGTTACCAACATCATTTCTGTAGCTCATTCCATAATTGGGCCCATATATTTATTTTTGTAAAGTTGGAAAAACAGCCAAAATTGTCAGTATGGCATGGAGAGTCTACTTTCTTCATCTAACTGTCAATTTCCATGTGATAAAGACCACAGTTAAAAAGAATTTGTCTCAAAATTGAATAATGTGTTATTTACTGTTTCTAAAATGGACTTGTTATAAGATAATATACAAACATTTCAATGAAACATTCTGAGAGCATGATGAAATTTCTTCAAAAATGCAATGAAATTCAATAGTCTGAAATATTTTTGTTGTATAAAATGTAATCTAAGGTGTACAGATATTTTTAGAATTTGTGTCAACAATATTTTCCATTATATAGACAAATAGGAATCTGTATCTATCCTGTTGCTCTATTTAAACTATTCAGCTACTATCTTCCATTGGAATTAGCTACTTAACTTTGCATTTTGTCAGATGCAAAGAATCAGGACCATTCATAAGGTTGCATCATAGAAGATTTATTCCAGCCTATATACAAGAATCTAGTCAATGGTCAGCACTAAATTAGCACTAGATAAGGGTGAACGGAATTCAAGAGGAACTGGTCTTGGATCTTTGTGGCAATGCATTCAACTCCCAGCTCTGCTTTTTTCCTATTCATACTGAATTGGTTAATCACCAACGGAATATTATAGTTGTTCTTTAAAATGGAAACAAATTCATTGTTTTCATTATTAATTGATCTAAAATATAAGCTCTGGCTTCTATACAAAGTTTGCATGTCATTCATTAATTCTAGATTATTTTATAGCACCATGTTAAGTTACATAATTTCCATAAATTATAATTTCCGTTATAAATGAGCAGGGTTATTTATGTTCAAGATCCATTTAAGGGAAATTTCCAAAATGAAAAGCTACATTTACCTACGTAGTAGGTGTACTATTATTCCTAGGAATCACCAAGTTTCAGAACAATATTAATAGCCTGCAATTTTTTTTGCTATTAAATGCATGGAATGACTAGGAAATAAGAGAACATCTCTTTATTATGCTAAAATCATACCTTGCAAGGATCAGTTCACAAAGATTAATAAATTTTGGACTAATTGTAGATTTTTTCAGGGCATTACTTTTACAGTACAGGAAGTTTAAAAAAAAGTTTCCCAGGTTGCACTGTACCCTGATGATTATATGAGTACAACATAACATTTTGATCATTATTTTTGTTGTGTTTACATGCTTCTCCAATTGTTATTTACACCAAGCTTCCATACCACCTTTTATAAATAAGACCAAAAACAGTTCATAATAATAAAAGAATCATAATAATACCATAGCATAAATGACAGACAAAACCCCACTGCAAAAGAGAACACCTCCGTTTTCTTCACAATAGTTTAAAAGTCCACACAAAGTTATCACCCATCTTCTTCATGTATGTAAAGGGAAATCTTCAAATATGTTTGTGGTTTATAGTAACCATTAAATTCTGTTAGGACAGTTCTTCATCCTGGCTGAATTATCTTATCAAAATAAGACTGGGAGCTGCAACTCAAAATCAGAGTGGAGATCTGAAAACAAACAAACAAGGTAAAATGTGAGCAGAAAGGCTCAACTTCCCCCATGGCTTCTGCCGAGCAATAATAAAACAGTGGAATGCCTCACTTTAGACAGCAGATGGGAAATGCCATTTTCAAAAAACTATTATATTATTATGGAAGAAACAAAGATTAATCTATCCTGTTTTCTGCTATGCTTCTTTGGTAGTTTTTCTACCAAAAAGTGTTAAGTGCGTTTTGCCCCATTTTACTACCTTTCTTGTCATGGTTGATAAGTGAATCATCATGAAGTTAGTAACACAGTTGTGAAGTGAATCTGGCTTTCTCCAGCATGATTGGATGGAGAACCCACGCATGGGTTGTCTTAATCTATCTGCTCCAATTAGACTAAGTCTGAAATTTAGTACCGCCCCCTCTGTGCCAACTGCACCCCAGTTTTAGACTTAGTCTCTTTGCTCTAAGATGCGTTTTTTCTTCGCTCCTGGAGCAGAAGACTGTATTCCTATTTTATTTCATCCCAACCTGTAGCCTAGCAGGCTGACAGGCTGACAAAACCTCCCTTTGGGGGGGGGGAAACTTTCCCTTTCTCCCTTTGAGAGCCTTTCAGCTTCACAATCAGCTTGAAAATTGGATTCCCAGAAGCAAGAGAAATCTCCTACCAGGGGCCGTTCCTCTGCATCAGAGGCTCCATTCTTCTAACCAGAGCCTGGAGGCCTTAGAGGCAGGGGTAAGCTTGCCAATTGACTGGGGGGCTCCGCAAGGGACGACGAGGCTCATCAGGCCTGGAGGGAGCCTTTTCTAGGTCCCTCAGCCTCAGCAGACCGCCCCAGCAGCAGGAGAAAGTTTTTGGCACCGATCCAATTTTCAGAGCCTGGAGGCCTTACTAGGCCTCGGCCTGCCTCAGCCTCTCTTAGCTCACCTAATTGTAATCCATTCGCTGCGTTAGGAGCCCAAGCGATTCCTCGGAACGAGGGCTCATTGCAGCTTAGGCCACAGGCCTCAAAGCCTTCTTCTTCTAATGGCCTTTTTTTTGGGGGGGAATCCATTCACTGCGTTAGGAGCCCAAGCGATTCCTCAGAACGAGGGCTCATCGCAGCTTAGGCCACAGGCCTCAAGGCCTTCTTCTTCTAATGGCCTTTTTTTTTTTTTGGAATCCATTCGCTGCGTTAGGAGCCCAAGCGATTCCTCGGAACGAGGGCTCATCGCAGCTTAGGCCTCAGGCCTCAAGGCCTTCTTCTAGCTGCCGTTTTTTGGTGTGAACTCTGCAGCCGCCATTTTGAATTGACTCACGGCGGCCATTTTGTGTGTGACTGAGGCCCAGACTGCCTGGAGTTTCTCCTGAAGGCAGTGTTCATCACCGGTGACAGAGGCTTCGAGACTACAGCATTGAACCGGGGAGGGCCTGTTCGCTCCCAAGGGACGCGGTGCCCATTAATTCCCCGCCCACCCCCCTCAAGGGCTGAATCATCTCTGCAGGCTCCCTTGGTGAGTTACAGCGCCGAGGGGGGGCGTTTTGCCAAGGTTGAGCCCAGAGCAACTCATCATGGCAGAGAAAATCAGCGAGCCAGCCAAGAGGAAACGCCAAACAGAGGCAAGTGGAAAGAACACCACCAAGCGAGCCCGGCCAAGCAGGGAGCCACAGAGGGAGGAGGAGTCCCAAAGACTGAGAGCGGCCTCCCCAGATCTGACAGGCACGATGGGAAGGTCCATTTTTGAACCCCTTTCCTCACATTGTGCCTCAGCCCAGGGGCCTGGTCTTCCCCCAGGGGAATTCCCCAATTAGATTTAACCACAAGAGTGGACCCAGGGAGGGGCACAACCAACCAGGACACCCTAGGACCCCAGGCCACGTTCACCCCCACTGCAGCAGGGCTTCGCCCTCCTGAGAACCAAGGCCTTGAACCCGGACCTCCTTCAGTCCACGATAGCCCAGGCTGTGGCTCAGTATGGCCTCCAACACCCCACAGCCACCCCCCCAGGCCATGTATCATCCACAATCTCCAGATTTGATGGAGGATCCCTCATCGGATTTGGAATCTACAGGGATGAACAATCTGGCCTGATTTTGTTTGAGGACGAGGGCATCATTCCCTCTGACCCCACCCCTCCTGTCGGTCTCTTTGACCATTCATTCTTTGATTCCCTGCTACTCAGGGCCTGCACTACTGCAAACCTCCCCCAAGAACAGGAGACCCCACCTACAATGTCCAAGGGTCCCCACGCCATATACACCGAGCCCTCAGTCTCGCAGAACAATATTCCCTGCCCTCCCCTTTTTCTGAATATAGTTCAAGAACAATGGGAGAACTTAGGATCCTTCTTAAGCCCCGGTGCAGTAGAGGGAACATTATTCAATGTTGCCCGTTCTCTGGCCTCCCTATTGGAGATTCCTGAGATTGATGAGCCTTGAACTCATTGTTTCCCAATGCTAACATCCCTGGGGACATAAATGAGGCACTTAGGGCGGAGGATAAAAAGATTGACTCCGCATTGCGTAATTCCCATCTGGCATCAGCCTGGGCAACAAAGGTGGCAACGTCCATGGCCTTCTTCGCCAGGGCTTCAGCCCTTGGATTACGTGAGCTCCAGGACAGGATCCCTCCAGACCAGCTCAGAGCTCACCAAAATCTGGGTAAGTTAGTGGCTACATCCCAGTACCTAGCCGACGCTTCTCTGCACATGGCTAGATACACTGCCAGACCATCGCTGCAGACATCTCAGCACGAAGGCTCCTTTGGCCCAGGAATTGGCGAGCAGACACCAAGACCAAGTGGCGTCTGGCCTCTAAACCTTACACAGGTGGACATCTCTTTGGTAAGGCACTAGAACCATACTTAACTGAAGGTAAGGACAAATGTAAAACTCTGGTTAACTCATGTCACAGAGCAGTTACAGGAGGCTGCCTTTCGACCAGCTCCATCCTGGGACTGGGCCCAGGCATCCCTCTATTCCTTTCAGAGACAAGAACGACAGCAGGATCGTTCAGCATGCAGAAGCAGACCACAGATCCAGGCCAAGCGGCCCCTTCAAGGCCGAGGGGCCGTTCCTCTAAACGAGGCAAGTGATCTCACAGTCTCACTTCCCATAGGAAGCCAGCTGGCCCCTTATTCCAGCACTTGGGCAGTCACCACTACAGATGCCGGCTGGCCCCTTATTCCAGCACTTGGACAGCCATCACTACAGATGCATGGGTGTTAGACACTGTCACGCAAGGTTTGAGACTAGAATTTTGTTCTCAACCACCTGACAAATTCCGCTCTTGCCCTATCCCAACGAGCAGGTCCAGGGCTGACTTTATGTCAGAGGCCATAGCTCATTTATTACAAATACGAGCAATTGAACCAGTACACAAGACCAAGAAGGACGAAGGTTTTACTCAAACCTCTTCGTCATCCCTAAGACTTGGGGGGCTGGAGGGCAATCTTAGACTTGAAAGATCTAAACCTTACTTGAGGTATAAGAAGTTTAAGATGCAACCACTTCAATCAATCCTGGCCAGCAAGGCAAGGTGACTTTCTTACCTCAATAGACCTAATTGAGACGTATTTCCTAACCACCGCAAATTCCTCAGATTCAGCTATGCCCACTACCAGTACAGAACCCTACCTGAGGGTATTACAAGGTACTGGCAGTGCTTGCAGCCCACCTTAGACAAATTCCAATCAGAATTCAATGCTATTTAGATGACATACTAATTCAGTCATCATCATTCCGAAACGCTCAGTCAGACCTCGCCCTAGCCATCAAGGTCTTTCAGGAGCACGGGTTTTCTGTTAATTTCCAGAAAAGTCATACAACAACCCGGCTCCTCCATTTGGGCGCTGTTATAGACATGGACAATTGTACGGTCTACCTATTTCAGGACCGAAGGAACTCTATTCAGACTCTTGTACGTCGGATCCAAAGGGCCAGAGTAGTCACATTGGCCTCCCTATCACAGCTACTGGGGAAGACGGTGTCCTGCGTGCAAATTGTGCCATGGGCACGCGTCCACGCCAGAGAATTACATGGCTTCTCCTTCCATTTCAGAGACTTGAACTCCCTTCAATGGTGGGACTCCCCGGCGCTGTCACGGGGAGCAGTATTAGAACCAGACAGGATTACCATTACCACAGATGCAAGCCTGTTTGGGTGGGGGGCACACCTCCACACGCACTGGGCTCAAGGTCGGTGGTCCAAACAGGACCTAAAGAACAATATAAACTGGCTGGAACTCAGAGCCATACATATGGCCCTAAAGGGATTCACCGATATAGTACAGGGCCAACATGTCCTGATTTTAACCGACAACATTACAGCCAAGGCCCACGTCAACAGACAAGGGGGGACAAGGTCCAGGCCTCTCATGCAGGAGGCCAAATTGCTGGGGTCCTGGGCGGAACTGAATCTTGCCTCCATCAGGGCGGAGCACATATCCGGAGTGACCAACCAGCAGGCGGACTCACTGAACTGAGCAACCATGGACCATTCCGAATGGCAGCTGGATCCGAAGGTGTTCAGAGAGATCGTGGACAGGTTTGGTTCCCCAACCTTAGACCTTTTGCCTCCCCCACCAACTCACAACTTCCCAGATTCCTTTCCGGGTTCCCACCTCCATCAGCGGAGGGAACAGATGCGCTCCGCAGTCCCTGGCCCAGGGAACTGCTCTATGCCTTCCCTCCTCTGCCGTTTCTTCCTGCCACGATCAGGAAGATCCTTCGCGAACGAGCAGAGGTCCTCCTGGTTGCGCCGCATTGGCCGAGACGCTCTTGGTCGCCGACCTGATGGAGCTCTCCGCATCATCTCCATGGAGGATCCCAGCAAATCGCATCTCCCACATTCAGGGGGAACTACGCCATCCAGACCCTCAATGACTCCAGTTAACCGTCTGGCACTTGAGAGGCAGGCCTTAGGCTGAGACTCATATTCATCAAGGGTCATAGCTATGATTCAGCAATCCAGGCGACCCTCGACGAATAGAATATACGATGCCACATGGAGAGACTCCTGTAATTGGTGTTCAGTTCGAAAAATTGACCTTTTGGCGGTTTCAATGCCAGTTATCTTGGAGTTCCTGAGGGATGGTCTAGACAAAGGGCTTTCCACAAGCACCATCCGCAGGCAGGTAGCAGCACTTGCCACAGTTATTTCCTGTGGCAATGAATCCTTAACACATTACCCTATGATACGCTCCTTCCTAAAAGGAGCTAACAACGTCAGACCATCAACTGTACATAGATACCCCTCGTGGGATCTTCATCAGGTTTATAGGCTCTTGTTTCGCACCCTTTGAACTATTGACACTGGTTTGTTTAAACAGTTATCGATGAAGGTGGAATTTCTTGTTGCTGTAACTTCAGCGAGAAGGATATCTGAACTGGCTACTCTTCAGTGAGGAAGGACCTGTGTACGTTCCATAAGGACAGGGTAACCCTTAGGCTAGGCCCCTCCTTCGTGCCTAAGGTCAAGTCCTTGTATCCTAGATCTCAGGAAATAGTTTTGCCGGACTTCTGTCCTAACCCATCTAATGACATAGAGGTTCAGTGGAACAAATTGGATGTGCGCAGGGCTTATATTGTTATATACAGAGAACCTCATCTTTCCACAGAACAGAGGCTCTGTTTGTGTCCTATCACCCTTCATCACTAGGTCAGAAGGTTTCTTCAACCACAATACGCAGGTGGATTAGAGTTTGTATTTCTCTGGCATACCAGTCTCAGTCACTGCGAGATCCCAGGCATATCACGGCCCATTCAACCGGGGCGCAGCTACTACAGCTGCCTGGTCTACTCAGGCCTCCGTAGAGGGAATTTGTAGAGCAGCAACATGGGCATCGCCCTCTTCCTTTGTCTGTCACTACAAGAGGGATGTATATGCATCTTCTACGGCTTCATTTGGCCGCAAGGTTCTAGAACACGCATTAACGTTGGATGGGACCCAGGCCCAATCTAATTCCCCACCCTAGGGACACAGGGCTTTGGTATGTCCCATCCGTGGGTTCTCCATCCAATCATGCTGGAGAAAGGGGCGTTGTCTTACCTGAACGCCTTTTCTCAGCATGATGATGGAGAATCCACTCCCTCCCATTAGGTCAGTTGGCCTGGTTCCCATATTGTTCAGACGCGTCGGACTAAAGTCTGAGTATCGCCTCAGCCTAAAACTGGGGTGCAGTTGGCACAGAGGGGGCGGTACTAAATTTCAGACTTAGTCTAATTGGAGCAGATAGATTAAGACAACCCATCCGTGGATTCTCCATCATCATGCTGAGAAAAGGCATTCAGGTAAGACAACGCCCCTTTCCCATTGACTTTGCTTATCAGAAGGTTGCAAAAGATGATCACATGACCCCAGGTCATTGCAACCACAATAAATATGAGTCAGTTGCCAAGCGTCTGACTTTTGATCACGTGACCATGGCAATGCTGCAATGGTCGTTAAGTGTAAAAAGTAGTCATAAGTTACTTTTTCCAATGCTGTTGTAACTGAATTGTAAGCCAAGGAGTATCTGTAATCTAACAAATGTAATATTATGTGCTGATAGGAAAATCATTCTCAGCCAAGGAAATTTGCTGTCTCTCCTATTCCACTAAATCAGGGGTGTCAAACTCAATTTCATTGAGGGCCGCATCAGCATTGCAGTTGTCCTTGGGGGGCTGGGTAGGTGTGACCAGGTCAGGCGTGGCCTACTGGGTGGGCATGGCTGGAGTGGGTGTGGCCTACTGGGTGGGCGTGGCCAGCTCTACATCGTTCGCGTCAAGGGTGCCTGTGGGGGCCTGGGCAGGAGTGGGCCAGATCTGAGGGTCTCTGGCAGAAGGGGGTGGGACCAGGGCAAGTGCCAAAGCATGGTCCACTGAAAGAACCTGCTGAAACCCTTCCTCCGGAGCCCATCAAGCTGGATATGTGAAGTAAGTGAGGGCCATTTGCTGGCCATTTCCAGGCGATGGTGCATTTCTTCATTCCTCACAAAGGTGACACCTCCCCAGCATGCACCCAAGAGACGGGGCCGATGCGGCAGGGGCTGGTTCCTCACTGTTTTCAGACGGCTTTGTGGAGCTAAGACCGATTGCATTTCAGCATAGATGGCCACCACAAAATTGTACATTGGCTCCCGGCCGGCCTGAGCCGGGGCCAAGGCGGTGGGGGCCATTCCCTCACTTTCCAGGATGGCTTCGCGGGCTAAATAAAACCACGTTGCGGGCCGCATCCGGCCCTGGGCCATGTGTTTGACATGTTTGTGGAAAACACTAGAGGCAGGATATTAAACAAATTGATGTCTGCACTTTATAATTTAAATCCATTTTTCTATATTGCGTATTGTATTATAGTGGTAGGTTACCATTAACCTACAAAGTCTGGAATAATGTAAGAAATATAATACTGTGGAAAACTTTAATGAATCTGCCCTTTCCTAAATTGTCACTAATCAATTAAAAACTGGGAAGAAGGAAAGATCTACAAGTGAACCAAAACTCATTTCTCTATTTATTTATTTTTACTTGGCTCTGTTTTTATTGGAAATGAAACAGATCATTTGGGCGTATTGTGGAATTCAGATTGTTTTTCTTTTAAATGAATTTTAAAATATTGCTACTGTTGGAAATGGAAATATTGAAAAAGATGTCTATTTCTTTCTTCCTACGTGTGTTTTTGTGTTAAAAATTAATTCTTAATAAAACTGTTCATAGACGGGTAAAAGCTATGTGTATATATAAAAGCAGGATATAAATGAATAAATAAAATAAAAATATAACTACAGAGCTGAAGAGAGCAAAATTCTAAGATTTACACTACTATGGTTAGCAGTACACTCAGGCACCTGGTGTACAAACTATGGATAAATGTCAGCTGGATCCTCAGTAAGATTCAAATATTCTTCTCATTTAGCCAAATCTCATAAAAATTATCCAGAAAGATTTTGGTTCAATCTATTTAGGTATTCAGTACCTGAAAATATAAATTTAATAGAATATGAAATTTTAGCCAATTATTTCATATTCCATTAAATAATTGGTAACCAAAGGCTGACTTGCTTGTTACAGTTTAGGAGAAGGTATAAAATGTATTTTTTTATCCAAGGCTTTTACTTTAGAACTTTTATGCTGCAAGTTTTAAATAATTTTAATTGCTATATGAAATTCTGAATTACACTGTAGATAGTAGGTAGGTGTACAAGATTTGAATGAAAGGCATATAAAAGATCTAATAAATAAAATGCCATTAGACTCCCATATCTTGCCAACATTTAATATACAAAAGAGAGCTTTTTTATCTGCAAATTAAACAAAATTGGCTGGGAGAGCTAAATAAAATTTTTAAAATGATCTTAATAGAATTCAGCTAATTTAGATAAATCTGAAAATGATTTAATGGTATTTAATAGACAAATCCAACATTCCTTTCAGAAATAAAAATCAGGTTTTGTGTGGTTTGGTAAACGTGCAATTCCAACAGCCATGGATTGCATGTGTTTGAGGCAACAGAAAACATAATTTTAGACTGCAACAAAAGACGTATAATCTCTAAATGATAAGAAATAACATTTGTTTTGCTTTGGTAGGACAAAATATGGCATTCTACTGAAGCACTGCATTCAATTCATCAGTTTAAGAAAGATTTAGATAAACAAATTTAGGGAGGAACTATGAGGAAGATCAGGAAGTAGAAACTAATCTTTATAAAAAGAGATTGGAGAACCTGGGCTTACCTTTCAGAACACTGAAAAATACATGATAGCAGTTAATATCCAAAAGAAGATGCCTAAAATATGTTCTCTACCACTATAATACAATATGATATACAATATGGAAAATGGATTTAAATTATGCAGTGCAGATGTCAATTAGTTTAATGTTCTGCCTCTAGTGTTTTCCCACAACAATCTAGTGGGGTAGATTTGGGAGATAGCAAATTTTCTTGGCTGAGAATGATCTTGAACTTCAGTTAACACCTACTCCCACACATTAACTATTATACTGTATTGGCTTGCCTGGTGTTGGATTTGAATATTAAAATAAACTTCTAAAAGCCGTTTGACAATAGTTACCAAGAGTGATGGTGGGTCCCTTTCCACTGAATGTGTTTATAGAGACTGGGAGCAACTTCTGTGAAGATCTTACAGGCACAAAGGGAAATGGAAATTGGTAGCTTATATGCCTACTTCCAACTCTGATTCTATTTTCATTTTTTTAAGAGGGCAATGCAGAGCACCAAACTTACCTCCCCAGCCCTGACAGTGTCTGCCTAGTAGATTGCTCCTGAAGTATTGTTTCATCTGTTGCCAGTGACTGATGTGTGGTGGAGGATCTTGGATGCTTGTGAACTAGTGTAATAACAATGACAACAACAAAATTAAATCACAGATTTTTCTCTTATTTTAGTAAAACACAAAGAACTAAATCAGCCATTTGGATAAAAGCTAAGTCTTATTTGAGCAGACAAGTAGTTTTATCAGTTTCAACATTATCTTACATTCTTTAACAGACAATTTCCCTCTTCCAGAATGAGAGGCTGTCATAGTCTAGAATCTAGACTCTAGATCTATGTGTGCTATCAAAGCACTTTAAGAAAGCAATTCTAGACACAATATGATGTGGTCTTAATATATGTGCGCCATCTACCGACCTTACTTTTCGCACTATTACTATTTTACCAGTCTAAGGAAAGAGCTTAAGTAATAGTACCAACCAGTCTCAAGCTATAGGGATGATGGGAGAGTATCTGGCAGGCAAAGCTTTGCTCTTGTTTGTGCTCTGTCCCTCCAACTACAAATAAATGTTTGGGTTATCTAACTGGATTTTCCATAGTACTTTTCTTCGTCAACGTATTTCCTTCTTCTCCCTTAAACATTCCATGTGTTTTCTTCTGGCCTCACGCAGGATCCCATAAAACTTAATTAGTGGAAATTGATTACTTCATTTGAGATTTATCGATTAATTCTACTCTGGATGTAAACCAATAATATATGGTCCATCTTCAACAGCTCTCAGAGCTGTTTAATCCATTTTAACCATGGTAACACTTTGATTTCATTCAGATAGTTTTAAAACTTGTTAATTTCTGATCAATCTGCAACTAATTTTTTTGTTTATGAAACAAAATACATTTTGTAATGCCAATAAACCAGGGAGATGGTTGGCCTATCAATTAAGAAAGAAACAGAGACAGAGAACAATAGATAAAATAAATTATAATGGTAAATTAGTGTATCAGAAGGAATTGATTAAGAAATCTTTTTTAGATTATTATCAAAAATTATATAAGACTACTAATGTACAATTTTTAGATATAAATAAATATTTAAGGGAGGCTAACTTTCCTAAATTGACAGAAGATCAGAAGCAAGAAATTAATGGTCCAATTACTAATGAGGAAATTGTGACAGTTATTAAGCAATTAAAATTAGGTAAAGCGCCAGGTACGGATGGTTTGACACCTATTTATTATAAAACTTTAGTAGAAGAGATGATTCAGCCTTTAGGTGAGCTTTTTAATAACATATTGCAGGGTTCAGAGATCCCTCCGTCATGGCGCAGTGCTTTCATATCCTTGATTCCAAAAGAGGATCAAGATCTTACTTTACCAAAGAATTATAGACCTATATCTCTTTTAAATGTAGACTATAAGATTTTTGCAAAAATTTTAGCTAATAGGCTTATGACGGTTGTGCATCAGCTTATACATAAGGACCAATCGGGTTTTATAACTGGCAGGTACATGAAAAATAATGTTAGACAAATTATTAATATATTAGAATATTTAGATAAGAACAACCAAGTCCCTGCAGGGCTGATATTTTTAGATGCTGAAAAAGCTTTTGATCAATTGAACTGGCATTTTATGTTAAGAGCAATTGAGGAGATGAATTTTGGAGAAAAAATATTACAAGCTGTTACTGCTATATATCAAAAACAAACGGCACAACTTATTGTTAATGGGGGTTTGTCAGAGGTTTTTACAATAGAAAAAGGTACTAGACAGGGATGTCCTTTGTCACCGTTGCTGTTTGTTTTAACATTGGAAATTTTGTTGATTAAAATCCAAGAGTCGCAGGAAATAAGAAGAATAGAAGTTAACAAAAAAGAATATAAGTTAAGAGCTTTTGCAGATGACTTGGTGGTTACTTTGTCTCAACCTACTTATTCTGTAGTGAAGTTATTACAGCTGATATATCAATATGGATTAGTTTCGGGTTTCAAAATTAATAATAATAAGACTAAAATATTATGTAAAAATATGACTACTTGTGATAAACAGATTTTGGCTAATTTGACTGGTTTTGAAATTGTTGATAAGATAAAATATCTGGGGGTTATTTTATCTGTTTCTAATGTAAAATTGTTTAAGAATAACTATGAAAGGTTGTGGGTCAGGGTACAAAAAGACTTGAAAAATTGGGAGAACTTACAGCTATCTCTCATGGGAAGAATTGCAGTGATTAAAATGAATATCCTGCCAAAATTTCTCTTTTTATTTCAAATGTTACGTATTTTAAAGAATGAGGTTAATTTAAATGAATGGCAGAAAGGCATTAATAAATTTATTTGGACAGGGAAAAAACCAAGGGTAAAGTTTAAAATTATGCAGGACTTCCGTGAGAGAGGTGGACTCAAGGTACCGAATTTGAAATTATATTATGATGCTGTGGTCTTAACATTAATTAGTGATTGGGTAAATTTAACAAATTCAGAGATACTCCATTTGGAGGGATGGGATTTACTTTTTGGTTGGCATGCCTATTTAATATTTAATAAAAAAAGTGGATTGGGCCTATATATAGATTTCTTGTTAACATGTTTTTTCTAAGATATATGCAGAGTTTATTTATATTTGACACCAATTCCTATTTATAGAAATTAAAATGAAGAAAACAGTGTTTTGTTGCATCTGCTTCCATATATTAAAAAAATGCCTTTGCATAACATTAGGAAACACAAAGAATATCTGCCTACATTATATATTCCAAAACAGAAATCCAGGAGAATTTCCCTCTTTAACCGCTACCCCAGTAGAGATTCCAAAGCCAACGTTCTCTGAAATCCAGAGCTACATCAAGAACAAATAATACTTCACTCTTAAAGACCAAGTTTTATTTTCAAAATTCAGATTAGTGGTTAAAGGGGATTTTTAAAAGCTTGTTTACTTTCTGATACATAGGAAGAGAAGTTCCTAGAAGCAGAGATTTCCAGAAAGATCTCAGTCATTTTCTGCAAAAATTAGAGATTTGTGGTACCATAAACACATATACACATAATTATTATGTCCTGAACTTTGATGAACTGAAATACATAATCTATCAGATGTAATGGGCAATAGAGAAAAAACTGTATTATAATAATATTATGCTGTTTTTGAGCTTTAAATGCCCTGTGGTGAGACAGAGTATTTAAAAATAATAATTTTTTTTGCAGCCCAGATCCTGTAACCTTATTTTCACAAAACCTGTGTGAATAGTCTATAGCCGAATGAATTCACCATGTAACCTAGCAAAAACAGATTATACCATAATGATAGAAATTCAAGAACCAAATTTCTGCAGAAAATGCAGGCATCAATGATAGCTCTACATCTAGAGATAATGCTATTATCCCCCAAAAAGGATTAATTCTCCTGTTCAGTTTCTGACGTGAAACATGCCTTCTAGACAATGTCCTACTGAAAACTGGCCAATCACTATATGGGATGTTTGAAATCAGACATATAAATTGTATATAATTTATCCATACAAACTGGACAAATAAATAAAATATCTGAAATATGCCAGGGATTAATTTCTTGGACAGATTAATGTTGCTAAATTTGAGTGAAGAGTAATGGCAAAGACTAATTTAATAGCAAAACTGATAAGCTAGGATTCATAAAATGCTCCAACTCTGTTTCTTTGAGGATAAAACACAAACAAACCTTTCCAACTATTCTATATGTATCACAGTAGGAATGTCTAAAGTACCCTGCCCCTAATCTCTACTCTTCAACCTTGGTTGAAAACATCAGAAATTAAGCTGTATGTCTATGTGTGCTTTATTAGAAGGTCTAGAAAAGATGGACATCTATATTGATAATGTAGTCAATATATGCAAGTAAAGATGAGCATAACTAGTTTCATACTTTCTGGTTGTTGGTACATAGTTGTCAATGTATTTCACGTTTTATTTCCATAGCTATGTACATAGCTATGTAACCTTGTGAACTCTCAAGTTTCCTCTTTCTGCAACAGAATTTCATTTTTAATATGGGCAAGTGTGCTCATAGTAAAAAATGACAATAAAGGTTATCATCTCATCATCTTATCATATCATATATCTATCTTATATCTTGTATTTTATCATCAGAAGAATCAGAAATACGATACTTGTGGCATTGAACGCTCTGATGTTCACCAAACTGACAGTTACAATCATTTAAAAGGAAAGGCCCAAATCTTGCAAAAATACCAATTGTCATGAGAACATTATGATCTCTTGTGATATATCATAAGCTTTCATCATTCTCACTTGGGATCTCATAATATTCCTGGGTAAGGTTGCTGAAAGCTGATGAGCTTTCAGAAAATGGGGAAGGGGAAATTGTACAAGACTGCATATTCTCAGAATCTATTGTGGCCCTGTGCCCTCACTGATAATTATTTTAACATTTCATATTGGATCTCAACAGTGCATCAGCTAGTGAGAGAGACATCAGTACTTACAATAGTATTGGAGTATTACAGACATTACCACAACTAGAAGGAAAATCAGGATCACCGTTGAAGGAATGATGATCCCAAAAGGTGAAGAAATCAATGGTGGCAATGGTGGCAATGTAATATTAGAACAGTTCTTTGTCAGATCTGAAATAAAAGTTGGAAGTATTATGGAAAAAACCCAGCCCCGCAGTGAAGAAATAATTACTTCTATGATACAGCAGAATAATATGAACCTTATGAAGCTTAAAGTGCTATGTGAATTTAAACAAGAAGAATTTTTGAAAAAAGGATTAAGAAGCAAAAAATAAAAGGAAGGGGGAATCTGAGAAGGTAGTATTTGTATAACCAAAAAGAAAGAAGAGAAAAGCTTAAAAAAAAACAAAAGATAACATGAAGTAGCATAGCCATATAGTGAAAACAAGGTTAGAAACCTATGCAGGGTATAAGTAAATGGTGTAAACTACTGTTAGCTATATATGGATTTGCATTAGTAGATTGCCCCCATACAAGTATAGGCTGCTAAATGTTTCTCAGCTACAGGAACACAAAACATAGTCCTCTATTTGTCCCCCAACACAATGAAAGCATTCTTTTCTCTCTTAATGTTTTTTTTCCAATTAATGCTGAAACAATGGTGCCATCTTGTCCTCCTGCTATATTTTCCTTTATCTGTTCACTGTTCACTGTGGCTGGAACCCCTCCTTTGCAATCACTGGTCACTTTTTCCATAGCATTTTGGCTGGGCTGCAGAACTGCCTTCCCCTTTCTGAAAAATGCTTGATTGGTGAGCTCTCTCCCCCTTCTCCAGTGACTGGTGAAACACAGAGCTGTGGAATAGTGAAAGGTTGTCCCTACCTCCCTTCCTTTTCACTGATGGAACCAGTTGAGATTAGAACAAATACGGTATGTTCCATATACTGCATGCTAAGCAAAATGGTAACATACTGCAAGCTGAAACTCAGGAAGAATATTAGCTATATCCCTACATCAAAAGGGCACAGTATTCAAATTGACTTCAAGCTCATTCAATACTGTTTTCACTAGTTTAATTAATAGTTATAACTACTAATGTTTGCTAGCATTTCTACTGCCTCTCAAAGATTTAATAAAGTGCAGAAGCGACTCTTTAACTGATCAAATAGGAAATAATAAATGGGTAGTAATGAATGGTTAGAAAGAAGAATGGCAATATACAATTGAGCCAGGCTTACCTTTATCTAGAATAAATCAATTTAAATCAATGCACTGTGAATCATTTATTATTTACTAAAATGAGTAATTCTCGATCCAATTCATTTTTTTCCTAACCACAGTAGCAATTTTCATACAAAAATAAGATTTTTATTTAATTATTATTAATTCAAATACTTTTGTGTTTTGTCATTTACTCAATTATTATGTTATACAATCAAATAAGATTGCCTTTACATAAAATGGAGGGAACTTACTCAAGCTATAGTTGGTTGACACATGGAAATCTGAAAAACGAACTAAGCATTCGACCAACATGTTTTCTGTCATGTTTAAATGCAAAGTGCCAGTAATATTAAACAATGTTTTGTTGCTTGTGACAGTTGAGGTCCAATTCACTGCCTTTTTATTGATAAATCCAAACATCTCTGGCCTTGAAGAACCTCCATGAGACAAACATCTCAGTGTCAAATTTGTTGAGTCACAACGTTCACTGGACCAATTGTCCAGGATGATAGGCTTACTGAATGGAGCTGGAAGACACAGAAAAGATAATAAGATATTACAGAATATGATTTATATGGAAAAAGGATTTTGATATTATTGGAATTTGTTCAAGCAGACCTGTACACATGAAGACTTTCCCTCTAAATTTCCTGTCATTATCCTGAATTTAAGAAAATTCTCTTAAACATTTCAGGCATCCTCATTATTAATCTTTATTGAACAGCAGTGAAAACTTATTTAATTAGTTACTTGGTAATAATAATAATAATAATAATAATAATAATAATAAGAAGAAGAAGAAGAAGAAGAAGAAACAACTATACAGCCATTTGTCCGAAATGGTATAGGGTTTCCTGCCTGAGCAGGGGGTTGGATTAGATGACCTCCAAAGTACCTTCCAAATTTATCATAATAATAATAATAATAATAATAATAATAATAATAATAATGTTGGGAGGGATCTTGGAGGTCACCTAGTCCAACCCCCTTCTCAGGCAGGAAACCCTATACCATTTCAGACAAATGGCTGTCCAGTCTCTTCTTAAAACTTTCAATGTTGGAGCATTCACATGAAATATGTACTGAGAATATATGTGTATACTGCAAAGGATGGTGTTAATATTGTGATTTTATAGTGATTGTTTCAGTTACCCAGCTGGCTTTGTGCCTATGATGGCACTAGAACTCATGGCCTACCCGGTCTCTAATACACATTTTATAATTTATTGTATACTGCATTCCAAGTTTTTTCTCTTGCATTTTTAGCTTTCTCTTTAATTCTTTTTCTTTCTTTTTCCTATTTTTCTTATATTAGTTTGTATTAGTTTTATCTTCCTTTTAAAAACTCTTTAATAAAATTATACAAACACACACACACAAATTAAAGAAGTTGTGTCAGTAGATTAACACTTACTTATCACAGATAAATCGATAGATGCTTCCCCTTCTCTGTGATTTTGTAATATGGCAATACATTTATATGTTCCACTATCGTTTATTGTCACTGAGGAGATTGAAAGTGTAAGATTCTGATTATCTATCTTTGATCTGTTCTTGTAAGATTTGTCCTTCTCCGATTCAAATTCTTTACCATTCTTGAATGAAATCACAACCATGTCTGAGTTACCAGGGATAGTAGGCTTTTGCCAGTAGATGTAGTAAGATTCTAGAGATGCGCCTATAGTGATTTTGCAAGGAAGCCTGGCTTCATCTCCTGCTTGGACTGCAACTTTGGTTAATTCTTGACTGAGAATGCCTAAGAAGAAAAAAACATACACACATAAATGGAAACAAAAAAAATATGACCTATGTCTGTTCTTCAAGGTTCTTCTTACAAATATATTTTGAAATAATGTGGGAGAAAAGAGAGGAGATTGAATTAACCAATATATTGAGATATCATCATGTAATAGAATCAAATGAATAAAACTGTAAGTCCACTCCGTGATGACTGCCTTTATTGATTTACTTATTAGATTTATTTGCCAACCATCTTGTTTCAAAAAGGCTCTGGGTGGCGTACCGCATGAAAACCATAGAAGATAAATTATTCTAAAATGATAAAAATGGAATTAGAAACAAAGTATGGTTAACAAGTATGGTTAAAAGATGGGGAGGGAGAGAGGTGAAATTGCCTCTTAATTCATCAACCACCTCCAGTGTGATACTCTGCTGCTGGGCCCCCAAACCATTTGGGAGAGCCAGGTCTTTGGCTCTTATGGAAGGTCAGAAGGGTGGGAGCCAATCTTACCTCGGGGGGGAGGAGATGTTCCACAGAGCAGATGTATCTTGTATTTTCCCCCTTAATACAATGTAGTGTGAAGGAAAGCTTTCAGTAAGTACAGGCAGTCTTCAACTTACAAATAACTGAGCCCAAAATTTCTCTTGCTAAGCGAGACATTTGTTGAGTTTTGCCCCAACCTTCCTTGACACAATTCTTAAGTGAATCAATGCAGTTGTTAAATTAACAACATGGTTGTAAACTGAATCTAGCTCCCCACTGACTTTGCATGTCAGAAGGTTGCAAAAGGTGATTATTTAAAAAAAAATCCACATTTACAGAGCTTGCAATTTAGCTGTTTTTCTTAGATAAAACAATCTATATGGGTCTTGATGATATGCAGAAATGATATCTCCATGTGCTCAACTATAGTCTCCCATGGAAAACCTCTATGATGGACATTAGTAGGCAGAGTACTCATGTTGGTTAAATCGAAGGATAGAGCATACAGTATGTATCTACACACATGCATGCATGGTCTGATAGGAACCATATTAAATATATGTGGGGTCCTTGGTGCTCTCTGAGCTTGGTTGTTTTCTTGCAAACTTTTCATTACCAAACTAGGTAACAACATCTAACTTTCCACAAGAGAAGTCCAATAAGAACACTATTTAGACAAGTATAAGCATACTGCAGCAAGCCTGAATATCAGAAAAAGGAGACAGGTCATCTACACATCTTCTAACAAAACGTATATTCACTCAGCCTTAACAAAAAGTGCCTGACCACTCAACCCAATATATACAACCAACACAAGCTGTGAAAAGGATAACACTGTTATACATCAAAAACATCTCAGAAACTACCTAACCTTTCCACCTTGGTGGCCCTTCCCAGCGTGGGATGTGTGTGGGAGCGGCAGGTGTACACGTGCACACACAGCTCCATTGGTGCAAGTGGTGGGAGTGCCCTCCACTCATGAAAGGGGAGCTTTGAATGCATGCATGCATTTGCCCATCGCTTGTGTGGCCTGGTACTTGGCTGCGACCCAGGGGTTGGGGAGCCCTGATCTGCAACATACAGTGTTAAGGACTACAACATCAATGTTGTACAATGTTTTGCATTTCTATATTGCTTACTGTCTCTTGCCTTTTTTTCAGCTGCCAAAGACCAACTCAAACTCCAAAGTGATACTAGAATTCAAGAAAAAAATAAGAATTCTACTCACTTGCTTTTTCCTATATCTTCTCTTTTTCTATGTTAGACTTACCATACTTACTGAGAGGCCACTAAAGCTTCTTTTGACTAATATGGATTTTGGTTTGCATTCCAACACCCAACTATTCAGCTTACAACTTGTTTCAAAGTCCCTAGATCATTTTGCTACAATATCAGGGCATCTGAGAAGGTTTAAGCCCAGCCAATGTCCTTTCTATAATTCATCTGTCCTCTTTACGTATTTCACAAAACACCATTTCTCTCAATATAAACTATGAGTGATAATTTTATTTTCTGTAGAATTCTATGGGGGCGGTGTGGTCAGCTGTGAACGGTAACCATACCAATATAGGAAATCAGCAAAGAATAACTCTGGATGTAGTTGTCTCAAAAGTATTTTTTCAAAAGGCAACTGGACTATGTTTTTTTCCTTGAGAAAGAAGACATTTCGCTTCTCACCCAAGAAATTTCATCAAGGGTGGGTACAGTTGTGTCAGAGAACCTTGTCTCTCCACTGTTCAGAAAAAGAGAACAAAAACCTTCTCGGCAAAACACACATAAGCTTGAATAGAGATACTGGAATTTTTTGGGGGTTAATGTCACTCCTATCTTTATAGACCATGAAAGTGTAACTTGAATGTGTTTAAAGCACAGAAGAAGTTTTCCAAAACACCAGAAGACAAGACAAGATCCATGGATGGAAACTAATCAAGGAGAGAAGCAATCTGGAATTAAGGAAAAACTTCCTAACAGTGAGAACAATTAACCAGTGAAACAGCTTGCCATTAAAAGCTGTGGATGCTTCATCACTGGAGGTTTTTAAGAAGAGACTGGACAGCCACTTGTCTAAAATGGTATAGAACAGGGGTGTCAAACTGCTGGCCCACGGGCCGGATGTGTCATGCCAAAACTGCGCCCACCCCATTGCCGACAATGGAAAAAAAGTCACGATATGGTCACGACACATCACGTGACGTTGCGAGTTTGACACCCCTGGTATAGAATCTCCTGCTTGAGCAGGGGGTTGGACTAGAAGACCTCCAAGGTCCTTTTCACCTCTATTCTGATTAATTAATATGTGTGGAGGGGGAGAAGGATGTGCCCACAGTTATTCAGCAAGTCCAATTACTTCTTGCTAAAGATGAAATACTTCAGCTGCATAGAAATTAATAGTAATCTAGATTACTTCTAGATCTTCTAAAAGCTCAATAAACATAGAAGGCTAAACATATGCTTGTATAAAAGCAATTGGGAAATACAAAAATAATGGAAATCGAATGGCATCATTGACTTTAACCCCAAAACTTAGAAACATGTGAACAATTGGCCCTGATAATTATAAACTGAACAAAACTGGCTGTGTACTTTAGCTACCTTTCAATGAAAGGGAACAAGATTGGTTTTCCTATTGATTTGTGCGCATCAAATTATACAAAAAAGATAGCATAAAGGAAACAATGTGATGTATGGTGGCCAAGGATTTGAACCTGGTGTCCTTGATGTACAGTATGTCCATCATTATAATCACTGTGTTCTCAATGTTATCATCTCTTTTACTTTTTCACTGCAAACAAACAGCATTACAGTTTTTTTGTGACTGCGTGTTATATTGCAACCAAAAGAAAGGAAATGAAAATATGTTTGGCCGCTGTACGTCTTTGCTGTCATCTCAAGGGAGAGCATGATATGTCATTACTCATCATAGTCAGCTTTAATTTTCAATAGGGGATTCCCTGAAAAAGTGAACTTCTGATATTTAAAAACACACCACAAAGAAAGAAGAAGTGCAGCCTACACTAGAAAGTAGTTTGGCACAGCAATGACTTCAGAATTGACATTTCTAGTGAAGGTACTCAAGTACAGAGATGTAAGGTCCATTTTAAACAAAGGCTATTTTTTTTTTTAAAAAAAGATCACCTCAAGTTTGTTTCTTGTATTAACATAACCATGTATCCAATTAATGCACAGGATTGACTACCTCTGCCTCCTCTCCAAAATCCCTGTGCTAGGATTATCATTCAATACTAAAATATCTACAGTACTATGTAGGGAATTACATTGTTGTAAACAACAAACATTCATATTTTTCATATAGCCTGGTTCTGTAGGACAACTGGCATCTGTAAGTAGCATTTTTGTTCATTCTCACTGATTTCCACTTCACTTGTATAGAAAAGTACCCATGATCGAGCTTTTCCATTGATACTAAAAGTAAACTATATCACTTTAAAAAATGCAAGTAACATATTTAGAAGCCTACACTTCATCTGATCACATTACTTGAAAAAAAATGGACACGTTTGCAGTGTATTTATTTTAGGTAAACAAAGAACAGTCCAAAATAGGATTATGCAAAACAAGTTAAAATTATATTCACTTAAACACAAGACACACACAAAGATAAATAAAACAAAACAATTCTGAGGTATATTAAAAATATCCAAAAAGCAAAATATGAATAATTCCTTACTGTATCTAAATTTCTTCAGCAGAAAACACAACTATTGACAAATATTACTTTAGCTATAGACCCCATACACTTGATATTCATAATAATTCTTCTACTGTGCTAGAGATCTTGATTAACAAAATGATGTGAGAGACTGTGGGGAAAGGGTGAGCAAAGGAAGAATGGCTGTAGGTGGGTATGAAAAGAGGAACCAGAATCCAGTGGTGAGTCCATGGCAAATAAACACTTTAAAGAGATTTTTCCATTAATTGGCTTGCTATGTGCTTCAGTTTTTATGATCATTAAAGATGCCTTTCTGAAATTCATATAGTTTTTGGTTTTTGAGTTTGTTAGCTATGTGAGTTTAGCACCACTGGTGATACCACTTCATTACCAGGCATGTCCCTTCAGAAGTGTGTGTGTATATTCATTCTCTGTCCAAGCTAAAAAAAGTAGCTCGTTAAAATGTTATTATTGCAAGAATTTGCCCAACTTTGCAACAGTATGGTTTATGTAAGACCTGTGATGTTAGCATTTTTGTTAATGTTAATATATAAATATACCAAAATTAATATTTTGCTACATATATTAAAAGAGGAGACGCGGTGGCTCAGTGGTTAAGACGCCGAGCTTGTCTGCGTAAAAGCTGAAAACCCAGGTTTGAGATCTGAGCGCTGAGTAGTGGGATGAGCTCCCATTGTTGCTTCAGTTCCTGCCCATCTAGCAGTTTGAAAGCAGGCAAATGTGAGTAGATAAATAAATAACACTTTGGTGGGAAGGTAATGGCGTTCCATGCATCTTAGTGTATAATGATGCTGGCCAATAATCATAGAAGTGTCTTCAAATGGACAATGCTGGCTCCCTT